GAATTTGGTAAGACTCGTCCCAGCTTAGGTACTCCGTTTAGTCTGGCAGCTTCACCAGCATCCTCTTCGTCGCGTTCTTTATCGCGGCAGGCCAGCCTAGGCTTTCAAATCGCCTCCCACTTTGATGAAAGGGCTTGGAAAGCTCGTTTTGTGGACTGGATCATCCTCGAAGATGTCACATTCCGCCAGGCGTCAAGCGAACGCCTTAAGTGGCTAATGACAAACGGTGGAGAACTTGCAAGTCAACTACTACCCGAGCATCATACCACCGTCTGTTCGTGGATCTGCCAAACCTTTGCCGCCCGACAGCAAACTATCCTCAATCTCGTCAAGAAGGCTAAGAGCTCTATTCATTTAAGCTTTGATCTATGGACTGCTTCAAATGCGTCTAATTACATCGGAATCGTCGGCCACTTTGTTGACATTGAAGGCGAGAAACGCGATGTGCTTCTGGGACTGCCGCGCCTGGTCGGCCCACACTCCGGTGAGAATATAGCCTTCTATGTTAAAGAGGTGGTCGACCAGTATGAACTGGGCTCAAAGCTTGGGTACTTCATGCTCGATAACGCCGAGAGTAACGATACCTGCTTAGAAACGCTTGCTAGATGGTTTCCAATGGACGTCCGTCGTCGCCGGTTGCGTTGCATTGGTCACGTTATCAGCATCATTGTCCGGGCTGCTATCTTCGGCTCGAACATTAGTACCTTTGAGGCAGAGCTTCGTGGGGCCACTGATGAATTTAGATTCGAAGTCTGGGCCAAGAAAGGAGCTATTGGTAAGCTCCATAACCTTGCTACCTACATCCGTCGGACAGATCAGCGACGACAGGCTCTTCGGCAATTGCAAACCGAGCTCTCAGGTGATGATACCATTTTCACCCTTGAAATCATTGTTGACGGCAAGACACGCTGGAACTCCATTTATATGATGATCAAACGCGGTAAGTCTATGTTACTGCATTGGCCGCCAATCGCTGACGACTCATCCGTTATTTTAGCGCTCGAGCTTCGCAGCGCGATCGAGCTCTATCAATCCCGCTGGCAAAAGCCCAGAAACGACCCTAATCACCGTGATCTAACAAAAGACTTTCTCAACGCCGCGGACTGGGTTGAATTGGAGCGTTTCTACGAGCTCCTGAAACCGTTCTACGTCCTTACAAAGACAATGGAGGGCAACGCTAATAAACCGGGGGCAGAAGGTGGCCACGGCGCCGTGTGGGAGACTTTGAAGACGATGGACTACCTGTTTATTAAATTCAAGCAGGCTGCATACGAAACTCGACTTGAAGATGCCTCTCATTTTAAGTCTGGTATTGACTGCGGGTGGTCTAAGCTTGAAGACTACTATGTCAAGTCAGACAGGACACCTGTCTACCGAGCAGCTCTAGCGCTCCATCCTTCTTACGGATACGACAACTTTGAGAGGCACTGGAAGAAAGCGATGTCATTGTCCGGGCTGCTATCTTCGGCTCAAACATTAGTACCTTTGAGGCAGAGCTTCGTGGGGCCACTGATGAATTTAGATTCGAAGTCTGGGCCAAGAAAGGAGCTATCGGTAAGCTCCATAACCTTGCTACCTACATCCGTCGGACAGATCACTGGATACTGATGCTAATGAATACAGCTCGTTTGGGAAGAGGTCAGTCAGCTCGCTGAATGCACAGCGTAAGAAGGCCAAGGCAGTTAGCGAGCTTGACAGATTCCAGACACGGCAAATCTATGCCGAGGATCTTGACGTTGCGAGCCCTCTGGAATGGTGGAGCCGACATCAACATGAATATCCAGTCTTGTATCGGATGGCGCTAGATCTATTCTCTATTCCTGGAATGAGTGCTGAATGTGAGAGAGTGTTTAGCCAGACAAAGAAGATGATCACTGACGAGCGAAACCAACTGTCTCCAGAGGCAGTGGAGGCTGATCAACTTCAAAAGCAGTGGTTATCGAGAGGGTTAGTAACGTAGCATGTCGATGAAGCAAAAACCACTTCTCCCGATACTGTAATAAAAATAAAAGTGGGACCAGACCATCAGACCAAGACCGACCGACCCCCAGCTCCAGACAGACCCAGACCGACAGACCAAGAGCCTTCGTGAACCCAGACCGACAGACCGGAGGGGC